TCACCATAATACACGTTATACAATTTTTAAGACAATTCTCTGTTTTCTTTCTGAGTTTTGATATCCAAAATTCTTGCTTAAGGATGTTCATCATTTTCTTTAAACCTAAGTGTCCACTGTCGTCGTGACATTTCTTGATGATCTCGTACTGTAGGGTTTTTGGTGCCACCAGTAATCGTTGACCATTTTCATACATATACAACACTTTATCTTCAATAGCATAATCCTCGTATGGACCATTTTCAAGTAAACCGAATATTAGTTTCAGCGTATTGTCTGATCTTTGAGCATTTTCGATTCGATCTCTTGTACCTTTGATGGAGGTTAACATCACTGGGTAACGACTGAGAGCATCAAGATGCTTCATACGTTGTCCTGGGCGATGACGAATGATATATTGAAATTCCTCTAATAAAAGTGCCCATCTTGCAACTTTAGTACATAGCTCTTTTTTCTCTAATGTTTTAGTAAATGCTGAACAATCTGTAACAATTTCAAAGTTAATGCCTAATAAATAAACTCTAAACCTTTTGACGCCTTCAATAATAGCTAGTACTTCCAACTCGTAACTGGAATACTTTTGTTGAGCAGGAGTTGTCTTCCGACTCATATAATACACAGGATGTAACTTTTGATCATCTTCGCCTTCTGGCATCAGTATTGCACCAAATCCAAACTTAGAAGCATCACAATGTAATTCAGTTTTAGCATCATTTTGGTAAATTTTAAAGACAGAGCGGTCTGATAAGGTGCTCTTTAATCTTTAAAAGGCTTCTCTCTGAATTCTTCCAAAACAGAACAACTGATTCTCTTTCATCAAATCACTTAACGGTTTAGCCATCAGCGAATAGTTTTTGACGAATTTTCGAAAATAACCAGCAAGGCCCAAAAATGATTGGAGCTGCTTCAGATTTCTAGAATCTGGAAATTTGGTGAAATTAATTATTTCGTAACCCAAATACTCTATTTCTGACTTCAAGAATTGGCATTTTTTCCAATTAATCTCTAATCCGTGATCTTCAGCAACCTTTAATACATTTTTTAATCTTTCCAGAGATTGCATCTCGTTTTCAGCTAAAATGCCATCATAAATGTCATCCATGTATGTCAGAATCATTCCATCCCTTATCAAATCTTTGAAGGTATTGTTAATAAACCTTTGGAATATGGCCGGTGAATTGCAAAGCCCAAATGGTGTTCGAAGAAATTGATATTGACCAGCAGGTGTTACAAAGGATGTAAATTTTCTACTTCCTTCTTCAACGGGGACATGGAAAAAACCAGTCTTCAGATCTAGCGTACTGAATATCTTTGATTTTTGCAATCTGTCTAGTTGATCTTCAATAACAGGCAGTGGATACCTATCTTTCACGATAATCTTATTAATTTTTCGATAATCTACACATATGCGTGTATCTCCATTTTTCTTTTTGACTAAAACAATCGGACTTGAATATTCAGAACAGCTGTGTTCGATGATTCCTTCATCCATCCATGAATCTATCATGGCTGGATCATCCATCCATTATGAATTTGTTCATTCACTTCATCCATTTCTGCCTGCGATAAACATCGAGGTCTATGGGAAATCGGAATGTCTTCCTTTAAAACAATTTTTGTTTGCATTGGAGTTGCAACACGTTCTTCTGGTCGATAGTTGTTGATCAATTCTCTAACCTCTTCCCTTAACTTGGTATCTTTTATCTCAGTTAAATTGTCAATCGTGTCGTCATCATCGTCGTCATCGTATCTTCGTGAAATGGATTCCAGAATGGTTAATCAATACTTCTGCCTGTGAGAGTAAATCATCACCCAAAAGTAACTTGCAACTCATAACGTTTTCAGGTACAATGTGTATTGAAGTGTGATATACATCGCCATCTATAATAATATTACACACAAACTGACCCAAAGTCTTAATGTTGTTCTTTCCAATTCCAGTAAGTGTTATAAACTTTTCTTCAAATCGTGATATGTTCAATCGTAAGTAATCGTTGATGCAAATAAGGTTGACTGCGCTTAAAGTACCAATCAAGGCAGTTATCGGCCTTTCTTCTAATATCACTTCTTTATAATCCTTTCCCGTTCCATTTTCGGTATAATTTGCTTCGAATCTCTTTTCCTTACTACATTCTCTCGCTTTATGCCCATAATTGTTGCATTTAAAGCATTTCGTTCCTCTTTATTTCTTTGGACAGTCATTGGATTTGTGACCAACTTGACCACAATTGTAACATCGAATTATTGGTTTTGTTGTTGATATGCTATCGGTTCTGGTTGTCCATGTTGTTGATGTTTGCTGTGTTTTCCCGCTAAACTTGTTGGAATTATTCTCAAATCATTTCACGGCATCAGTCTTTTTCTTCATATTCTTGTTCATTTTTTCATAGACGTGTAACTTTTCTTTGAATTCTTTAATAGTTCTTGCGCCATAAAGAACAGTTTTATTGTTTACATCGTCGGGAATTCCATCAATAACATATTCAATTAGCGCATCATCGTCTACTTTTCCTCTACTAGCCATTGCCTTCATTTTTAGAAAATACGTGGTGTTACGGCACGATGGAAAATTACGACGGCGCGACGCAAGTCTTATTAACAGTTTTATCACTAAACACTTGATGTTAATCGCGGTTGAGCCCCCAAATTTGTAGGATTAGATTGTCAAATTAAAACACATGTTTTAACAGTAACAAAGTAAAGTATTTATTAATGTAAAGTGATAAACTATTAAAGATTTAGTCTTTAAACATATTTTACACTCTTTCATAATAAAATAGTTCAATTACTCTTTACGTCTTTACTCGTACCCGCTCTTCTTCATACTGCCCATACTGCCCCAGCCTCTCTCTACTGTTCTCCCTCTGAATTGTCCTCTCTCTCAATCCCACATGTGTACAAAATAATGTATAAACAATAACCCTGTTCTAAATTAAGTAACTATTTAACAACAACAAGCACCAATTTTACCTACAAAAAAATAATCCTCAAATGAAGCAGGGATTCCCACTAAGTTCATGAAATTTGAGGTTAGATTTCTGTATCATGACATGACCATCGTCTAAACAGTAATAAATAAGAAAAATTAAACTATCAAGCAATATAATACATATTTATAGATTAACAATGCTGATTATAACGATATTTGTAGTTAAATTTATTTATTTTTTCAAAACAGTTTCTAGATATTTAAATCATTGTCATATAGATGGCGCTAACTATTATAACCTCTTACTCATATTACCAATTCAATACTTAAATTTATAAAAATGTATCTTTTAATAACTTTTGAAACACTTTGCGAAGTAAAAGAAGAATGTTAGATTGGTTACATGTGACTATTTATTATTCATGATTTATTAACACTAATTTATACTTAATTCTTAATAAATTTACATCTTGCATACAATAATTAGTCTTATCCCTAAATAACAATCAAAACCAGCAGGCGGCTCTTCTCGAAAATAGTTTTTATCTCCTCATTTAGCTGCCTACATTTCAATTTTAATGCAACTAATTCATCTTTGTACATTTCAACGCCTTCTTTCATCATTTTCTCTGCCAACATCTTGTAGTCTTCGAATTTGTACTGTATTTCCAATAATTCTGGATTATTATAATCCATTACGATACTATTAATATAAAAGATTCGTTAAATCTTTGTTAATGTACAGGTAAAGTTACTGTAACTTTTAGTATTGAAACTGAACTCGTTACAACTAACTTTATTTGTGACTAATTTCATGTCAATTTTAAAAATAATTTATGATTAATTAAATTTAATTTAAAAAAATGTAATTTCTAAAAATGTTTCATCGACAAATTAGGACTTAAAGTACAAAATATCAAAAATAAATTAATCAAAATTAATTTATGAAATTTGGGTTGTGAAGTTTTCGTTAAGTGGCGCCATCTCTTATGCCATAGCAAAAGCATAATTATTATTAATATTATACTTAAATTGTTGTAAACCTTAGTTTAAATAAACAAATATACAGGGTGTGGCAAAACTCCCTCCCTAATTTGAGGGTTGAATAAAAAATAGATGGTACAAATTAACGAAACTGTTAACAGGAATTCATTAACATGAATGGAATCTACAGAATGGGAAGTTACGTTATTATGTTTTACAGATTTCTGTTTTTGAACAGTATATTGCTCAAGTGTTTTCCTTCGTTATTAATGCATTGCCGAATGCAAGTTCGGAAGTTCGTCATTACTCTAATCAACATTTCTTGAGGAATACGAGTAATCTCTTCTTGAATCTTTTGTCGTAGGACTGGCAGAGTCCTCGGACGATGTTTATAAACCCCCCCAGCCTTAAGAAACCCCCCATACAAAAAAAATTATAGGGGGTAAGGTCTGGAGATCGTGCTAGCCAGTGTATCCGCGCAAAGACATCAAGCGTTCTGGGAACAGCTACCTCAGTTCTTGAAAAGATCTCCTGCTTATGTGAGCAGTGACCCCGTCCTCCTGAAGCCACACATTATGTTGAATCTGTAGAGCATTGAGTCTTGGTGCCATAAAAGTTTGAAGCATTTGAATGTATCGATCCGAGTTAACGGTCACTGTCACTCCTCCTTCTTCAAAAAAGTACGGGCCTATGATCCAGACACTGCCAATCACTCACAACATGTTCACTATGCAGAGGCTTTTCATGGAGTTCCCGAGGGTTTTGTGCACTCTAATAACGATTTTTTATAAACGTTTGTTTTTGGCAATAAAAAAACATTTTCCACAAAGGCCCGGTATGTGAAAGGTTACCCGCCCTGGTTTACAAGGGATACTAGGGAAGGATCCACACTGACAAAATATCTTTCCAATTGTTCAGCAATATCTAGGCCTTTTTTTATACCTTTTACAGTAAAATCTTTTACAATAACAGTAACATCTTGCTCTGTATTGTTTTCATCGTCATCATCAGCAAAATCAGTTGTGTTTGTTTCTGATGCCATTTCCAGCAAACTTACCATATCAATTTCTTCTTGTACCAGTAATTCTTAAATATCTTCGACATTCATGTCGTCAAAACCTTCCCCTCCTACAGACTTAGCAACTTCTACAACTGTATCTAATACTTCGTTATGATCTGGATCAATTAAGTTATCCTTTTCAACTGCCTCTGGCCATAGATTTTTCCAACAACTATTCAATGTTGATGGTTTTAATTTCTTAATGGATGAAGATATGTGATTAATACAGTCCAAAATTGTAAAGCGTTTCCCAGCCTGCATGACATCGATAGAATCATCTTCAACTTTATTCAAAATCCATTGCAAAGATGTTCTTATGTAATAAGATTTAAACGTAGATATAATACCTTGATCTAGTGGTTGAAGTAATGAAGTTGTATTCGGCGGTAGAAATATTACTTCAACATTTGGGTGACTAAAATTTTTCGGGTGACTTGGTGCATTATCCAATATTAGTAGAATTTTAAAATCTATTTTTTTTTGCTTTAAGTACTTCTCCGCGCTTGGAAGAAGACAGTTTAAAAACCATTTCTTAAATAAGTCAATGGTAACCCAAGCTTTCTTATTTGCAGCCCAATATACTGGTAAAGCGTTTTTATTAAGTTTTTGATTGAGGGATTTATAAACTAGCATGGGCTTAACCACGTGCTCACCTGAGGCGTTACTGCACATAAGTAGTGTTAATCTATCTTTTCCTACCTTAAAACCCGGTGCAGTTTTTTCTTTTTTTGAAATAAACGTTCTTTTGGGCATTTTTTTCCACCAAATGCCGGTTTCATCTGCGTTAAAAACCTGATGTGGTGTATATCCACCCTGTTGAATAATTTTTCCCTACTCTTTCGGATACTTTTAGCAGCTTCACTATCAGCAGATGTGCTCTCTCCTTGTATTTTCAGGTCACCAACCTTTACTGGCAACAAAATCGGGATCAGTAGCAGATTCTCCACTTTCTATTAAAAAGTTGTAGATTTTTAAGTCTTTATTTTTAATAATATTTGTGTTTAGTGGCATTCGTTTATTTGAGCAATCGTCAATCCAAACACTAAGAGCTTTTTCCATTTGTTCAAGAATTGGTGCTCTACGACGAGCTGTCATATTTGCGGAGACGGAACAACCTGCAGTAACGGAAGATCTAATTTTTTGTTCATTTTTCTGTATAGTACGTATTGTAACTTCATTCAAATTTAGGGTTTTAGCAACGTATGATATCTTCTCCCCCTTTTTAAGGCGATCCAAAATCTGAATTTTTTGTTCTAATGAAATGAAATGTCTTTTAAGAGGTGTTTTTTTCTTTATAGTAAACATTGTTCGAAGCTAGAAAAAATAATATTTAACATTTTTCAAAGTTTCAATAACAATACATACGCAATTTTACTTTCTATTACATATATGTAATAAACAAAAATAAAATTATCAAACTTCTAGATGCACAACGCTAACACGACTGACACGCTCGAATGAGAAATATCACATCACGAAATAATAGTGGATTTCCCTATAGTTGAAGTAAAAATACGAAATGAAAATTCTTCCTAATTCTCGAATCGTGTTAGAGTGAAACCGTTTTATAAGGATACCGTGTTATACAGGGGTTATCTGTAGTTGCTCTGTCAGGACCTGTAAGCGTCGATACTTTTCTCGGATGACCTTTAAATTCCAAAACTTAGTAATATATTATAACCATACATTTTGAATAATATTTGTGCTTCCATATCCTCCTTCAATGTAAGCAACTCTTCGTGAATTGTATCATCAATATAAAAATATGTCAATACATTCAAATTTTCAATATCCCTAAATCGAACATTAAAATCATCTTTAAAATTTTGTAAATGGCTTTATAGAATGTTATATCTTCCGCTAAAATGCAATCTTTCTCAATGGTGGACAATAGCTTCTGATTGTCAAAGTATCTAAATTCTTTCCGGTTTAATGTCAATATAAACAAGTCAATCTTAGAACGAAACCCAAAGATCACCGTTCTGGCTTCAATAAGGTTAACGTCTCTTCCTTACAGTTTATTTTGTGTGGCGTTGAATAAATAATAGTCAAATACAAAATGAATTTATTAACATGGAGTAATGACAAAAACTCCACGACGGTATTAAAAATCTCTATAAAACGATGCAAACAGTTTCCCTTAGACAGCCAGCGTACGTCCGTATGAAGAAGCAAATTATTAAAGGGGGTAGAATACTGTTATATACTAAAAAATATAGTTTCTTATGGTTTTTGTAAAGAAAAACAACTTGATATAACAGATATCTGTTATATTACATATGAAGAATGGTTGTCGAAGAGTGCAAAAATAAAAAGAAAACACTTATAATCTTCGATATACAATATACAACACCTCAAAATACCGGTCTTCAAAAAAAAATATTGGCGCATTGGCGCCCTTGGTTGACAGCAAATTGGTCGACTGATTCATGTAAAACCGAAAAGCCAAGAAAGATTTAATGCAAATATAATTACCTATAACTGTACGTAGGGAAATTCAAAAAATTACAAAAATAAAGAAATTATTGACAAATTAAGTATTGTGCAAAATTTTGCAAATTTCGCTATACAAAAAAAAAAGAAATAAGTATAGATCTGTTTGATCAAATGAAAAACGGCTACGTAGAGTTGAAGACAAACGGTTTTTCTACAAAATGAAACTTTGTTCATATCAATTTAATGGTTAGATTTTTTGATTAACAGTCAACGAGGTCGAAAAAAGGTGTTTAAAGAAAAACGTATTTAAAGTTTTACTTTTAAATAACGTATAACTTCACTTATTGCTATTCAGCAATTCCTGGACCATATAGAAGTTCCTCAAGGTCCATAATTATATTTTGATCGTCATAACAGTAAGATGTCGTATGGTGATCGAGTGGTTGAGGGTGGGGAGGAAATTTGCAAACTGTTTGTTGACTATTTTGGTTCTGTCTTTGTTGATGGAACATTAGTTGATGTCCGCGACTGCTCTTCTTCGGGAATCGTACCTTGGTTCTCACGTTGTCATTCACAAGTGACAACCCTAGAGCGGGTGCTGGTCCGGACGGCCTACCAGGCGTGCTTTTTCGTGAGTGTGCATCAGTGCTTACTGAACCACTTTTTTACATTTTCAATACTTCTCTGCGAACGGCTATTTTCCCATCCGAATGGAAAAAAGCTCTAATACTGCCCATCCATAAGGCTGGCGACCGAAATTTAGTCGTCAACTACAGACCTATTTCTATTCTGTCAATTGCCTCTAAGATCTTTGAACGTCTAGTTTACGATCTGCTTTTCTTTAAGGTCAAATCTTACATAATCCCGGAGCAACACGGCTTTTTTCGTGGCAGGTCAGTGGAGTCTAACCTAATCACATTTTCTAATTTTTTACTGAATGCTCTAGACAAAAATTACCAGGTGGATGCTGTATATACAGACTACAGTAAGGCCTTTGACAGAATAGATCACGGAATTCTTTTTAAGAAACTCTTTAATTATGACATCCCTGTTGGTTTGATTTATTGGTTATCTTCTTACATCTCTAGCAGATCACAAGCTGTTACCATTAATGGCTATCGCTCTTCCTTCAAAGAGATAACTTCCGGTGTGGCGCAAGGCAGTCATTTGGGACCGTTGTTGTTTCTGCTATATATCAATGACATTCATGCGTGTTTTCATTACTCCAAGTTTCTGCTATACGCTGACGATAGCAAAATATTTACCACGATTTGTTCACCTGACGACTGCGAAAAATTGCAGGAGGACTTGGTCCGATTACAGGCTTATTGTGTAAACAACAATCTTTTCATCAATCACGATAAATGCACGAAAATTACATTTACACGCAAACGCTATCCCATTGTTTTCGATTATTCCCTCGGCCCTAATACTCTTATACCATCTGATTGTGTTCGAGATCTTGGGGTTCTCTTTGATTCTAAACTTGCGTTTTCAGCTCATATCGATTTTATTGTTAATAAGCAATAATCGCATGTTCGGATTTATTTGTCGTGTCTCCCGTCCTTTTACTAACTTATCCTGTATTCGTTCTCTTTACTTCGCCTTCGTTTCTTCTATCCTTAACTACGCATCTTCTGTTTGGAACCCTCAATACCATATATACAATGATCGACTAAAACAAGTTCAAAAACGTTTTCTTCGGTACCTATCGCGAAAATTCTACTTACCATACTGTGATTACGCACAGCGATGCTTAATATTTGGAGTCCCTCAACTCTCTTCCAGGCGCATTAGTAACGATTTAATGCTGCTTTATAAAGTGAGTAACGGTACTGTTGACTGCTCCGCGATTCTATCTCAGTTACAGTTTAGGATTCCTGTTCGACAATCCCATGATTTATCGGTATTCTACGTGCCTTGTACTAATACAAATGCGTTTTCTAACTCCATGGTCCCTCGTCTCATGTTTTCTTTTAACAATTTTTGTTGTGTCTTGTTTGCTACTCCCCGGTCTACATTTAGCAAATTAGTTAATGACCTCCCATGTGCATCTCGTGCGCTGTTTGACTTGCGACGTTAATTCTTTTTTTTGATTGTTTTTTTTTTAATGTTTTTGGTTATTAGTTTTGCTTAAGTTTCACTTTTTTGTTAAATTTTATTTGTGTTGCTATTTTTTTGTTAACCTGTTTGATATTTTTTTTGTTACTTATTGCTAAATTCTTGTTTTTAGTTTATAATATTGTATATTTTTAGTGGTTGCTTCGCTGGGGTTGTCCCGTTTGCATCCCAAATAAAAATAAAATAAAATAAATAAATAAATAACGGTCACGTATACGACCTTCACAGGTATTTCGTCGCGTCTATTGTTCGGCTTTCTTCACGCGCTCTTTATCAATATCATGGCAGTAATCATAAACAGTTTGGCCAATCTCAACTCCCAATCGATCTAACTGTAAGACACCCAGCAGAGCAACATACCCATCATTGAATAATATTGTGCCCAGATTTGCAGCAATTTTGACAATTGTTGCGCCGCTAAATGATGATTTCGGTGCAAACCTCCAAATAATATCATTTAAGCTTTCATTATTGTTCTGATGAAAAGCACCTAAACACCTGATTAAAAGGTCGTCTCTACTCATATTTTCATATATTGGCTGGATGGCTGTTGCAACTTCAGCGGACATGGCAGACTTATGTTTATAATTAATTAAATTTCCTGCTGTGTTAGCCTTCTGCCACGACTCCGATTGGACAATTATCATGTTGAGGTTTTTCGCCCAAATACTTTTCTTCATATTTTCTACAGAATTTGTATTTCTGCGTATTGCTAAACCATAATATGTCGTGAGCTCTTTTATAAGGTTTGCAGTTAGTTTACCTTTACCTCCTAAGCACTTTGCAGATTTTTTGCAATTTTATCGGCATATCATTGCATCGGGTTCCATTTTACCTGCGGAGCCCGTGTGATTAATGTCACATTCCTTCTTATGGTCTTCCAACAATAATACTCTGATATATGTGGTTTATTTTTCCACAAAGCATATGCCTTACAGTATCCTGACTTGACGCAAATATCATGCATTTTCTTAGAGTAGTATCCTATGACTGTTACGGTATGTTTAGGATTATTTATATAATGTAGCGATAGGATATAATACTCTGTATCTTTGTTATTTTTTCGAATTTCTTGCTAAAAATTTAAACAGACAATCTTGAGATGTGTACCTATTAAAATAAATAAAAAAAAAATCGATTTTTTTAGACCGCTATACTGTTCTACACCCTTAAAATTTTCATTATTGTTATCACAC